TCTTTCAAATCCTTTATAATTTGATATATGTATATAGAGAGGGGAATAAATGAAATAGGGAAAATGGGGGGGGGGGGGGAGGGAGTCTACACCAAAATGTTAAGATATCTTACCAAAATTATCAAAACTTTTGTTAACAATTTATTCAATCTTTTTAAATCTCCATCCAAATTAGAATTTAATTTGACATATCTAACCATTTTAAATCCACAGACAAATATTATTAAATATGGAATTATTTCAATTAATGCTATTGGTAATTTTGATAGAACAGAAGTCTACATAATTTTTATTTTAAGTTAAACATGATTAATAATTACCGTTCCCATTTTATATTGAATAAACGGCCAAGTCTTGTTAAGATTATCAAAATATTTAATACCTCCATTAGAATATAGTGAAACAAAGAAAGAAAAATCAAAAATGTAAAATAATGTTACAAAAAAAGCCATTGAGAACATAAATAGATAGCGACGAAAATTAATTTTTATATTCCTAATAAAAATAGTTATATTCTAGATATACAAGGCTCCATATAACTATATAATTTTTGACATTATTCCCTATAGTATAGAAAACTAATCTGGGCTTGCATTTCATGTCTGAAAGTCGATAAAAAGAATAGGCTTATGTATGTTACTGCTTATAAAACCTAGCAACCGTAAACTCCCGTGAGAGTTAACGGTTGCGAAACCCAAGACGAAACGCGGTGTTATAAAAAAGATAAGACTTTTAATAATTCTTATGATTCTAAAATCTCAAAATTCTTAAGATTTTCGCCTGCGGCGCTGAAAAAGTATAAAATCTGACCCCCTATAATCCCAATCGATCTCCCGATATCACGTTCCCAATACCTTAATATCCCTTTTAATCCATCCTAATCTCATGGACTATTGAGACTGAAACCAGTGATTAAATATCTTTCGGCTAATTTTGGTTGCCGTTTGCGCTTTGGCGTTTACATTTGACGGTTATTCAGAAATTTTGGCTTACACTCTTGTTTGTGACCACATAATTATTGTATACGACAGGGGTGGGCCGAGTCCCACAAAATACGAGACACGAGATAAAACGAGATACGAGATCTCTCAAAAAATACGAGATTTCACGAGATACGAGACCACGAGATACGAGATATTAAGTATTTTTTTCAAAATTATTCATACATTAAATTGTAAAGCCGAAAATATAAGGGTTTGAATGGATAATGATTACAGGTGGATTATGAAGTATATTGAGGATTTAGAGGATCAAGGGGATTTATTAGATATCTGGGATACGGAGAATATCATGAGATTCGGAAGGGTCGAGGAGAGTTAAATGAACAGATACCATGGGATTATTGAGGTTGTCAACTGATTTGAGTGATATCGGATACCGGGTGATATGGAGACCCGATAAGGGGCCGAAGTTTTTCTGAGCACTCAATGATGAAAGCTTTGTATAAGTAGGGCTTATCTTAGCCTCGCAGGCAAAAATTTTAAGAATCTTAATCACTAAATATCTTCATTATATCCCCTTAATCACTAGATATCCAACTTGCTTCTCACAATCCACTAATTTCTCTCAAAATTGATGGATTCACAGATATCCTTCCGAATCACCATATATCTTTTTAAATTCACTTTAATCCCTGTAAATCGCCCGATATTCTTCTATCTTTTCAGGTCCACCGATATTTTCCGCTTGACCAACTTCATCCATTTTTCTATTTCAGCGCCGCAGGCAAAATTTTGAGACTTTTAGAAGGTCGTTGGCCAAAAAATTCACCATTTCAGCGCCGCAGGCGAAAATTTTGAGAATTTTGGAAGACCAATGGGCAAGATTTCTTCATTTTTCAGAATTCTAGGATCTTAAATTAATCCGAAATATTCGACATTTTTTGTAAAACAGATTGAAAATATCTCGTGTCTCATGGTAAAATACGAGATACGAGACCTCTAAAAAACACGAGATTTCACGAGATACGAGACACGAGATACGAGACTCAGCCCACCCCTGGTATACGAGTTCATGCTGTGGAAAAATTGTGGATGGGAGATGGGATTGAACCATAATGGAATGAGCCCAGACCGACGCACAACCGGCTGTGCCACCATCCAACCTAATGCTGGGTTATTTATTTTCATTTATATTCTTTCTGCAAGTACGGACACAACAATGATCAAGGTCAATTTTATATATTATACATGTATTCTACCTATTCAAAACCAAATATCTATAAATAAATTGAATACACAATCCATTTAAATTCAAACTCCAAATAAACTGCCATAATTTGAAAAAAATATTACACAAAATTGGATTGAAATCTTTCACAAAACTAATCAAAAATCCACTAGGAAAAATTATTGTTGTATTCCCTTCTGTATCGACTATATAAAACTTTAAATAATAAAATTTAGTATTAGGTAAATGATTTTGGTGATGGTCTAGTTTATGCGTCCAATGAACTTTTATGCGTCCAATCAAAAGAAAATTGGATTTTTCATGATATTGCAAAATTGGGGTTAAATTTTTTGGTTCAAAACATTTCTTCAATGTCAGGACCTACGCCCACTGGGTTTGGGACCGTTCCTTACCCCATCCCTCGGAATTTCTGAAAGTTATAATCGTTTTTCTGAAAGTTTTAAAAATTGGCTATAACTTTCAGAATTTCGAGGGATAGGGCAAGTAACGGTCCTAGAGCCAGTGGGCATAGGTCCTGACCATGAAGAAATGCTTTGGAATCAAAAAATTTAACCCCGACTTTGCCATATCATGAAAAATCCAATTTTCTTTTGATTGAACGCATAAAAGTTCATTGGACGCAACTAGACCAGCGCTATGATTTTTGTGTTTTATATTACCAACTGAACAAACATTTGAACAGTCAACATTAAAATATCCAAAACACAATTTTGTATCAAAATTAGACTGTGTATTTTCATTTCTTTTGGCGTTTTAAAAATAATTAAAACAATCAGAATAATATTTAAAGGAAACCCAATTAATAAACAAACAAAATAATCAAAGTTAAATAAAATATCAAGTATATCGAAGGACATTTTTTTTTAATTAAATTTTTTCAAAATTATTTTTTAAATGAAATGTTAAAATTTTTACTCATTAAATAGAGAATTGAATGGAGTATTTAATTGACGCACTAATAATTTTTGACTACAAAAAATATTTGTGAGAAAAAGTTGTTTGTCTCATTAGACTATTTGCCAAGTAATTTCGTGCGTTTTTATTAAATTTTGACTGAGAAAATTATTGAAATATATTTATTAAATTTTTTTAATGTAAATTCCAATAATTTTCTCAGTCAAAAGTTACAAAGACGCACGAAATTATTTGTTAAATCTGAAACAAACAACATTTTCTCAGAAAAATTTTTTGTAGTCAAAAATTTAAACAATTTAATAGTAAGAAAAGAATTTTTGTTAGTCAAATAATTTTTCAATTTATAAAATTTAAATTCTTAAGGTTAATTTTACAATTAAAGCTTTTTTTTCAAAGCCACTCGGATATTTTGAGGATTTTGACTATCAAAACAAATAATTTAAGTTGATTAAAAATTAATTTGACATTTTTAAAGGGGGTCAACTTTTAAGAAAGAACCTGTCTTGAAATGTTTTTTGTATCCTCTAAAATAATTATTATATTATTTTTGAATATAATAAAGAAATATTTTTATAAAAATTTATTTATTTTAACATTATTCAAAATATTAATATAATAAAAATGGAAAGATGCAATATGCATAAAAGTTGTTTGGAAAACTATTAAAGAATAGAGTTGGGGGATCCGAATATCCGAATAAAAAAAGTACGGATATCCTGAAAATTTCGATTTGGATACAGATATCCCAAGAAATAATGGCTAAAATAGAGAAAGTATCAAAGAGGTGCGCCAAAAAATTTTTTTAAAAAATTGCCAATCAAAACATGCGCGCACTTTTGTTTTTTAAATTTAGAAAATTTTCCTTCTTTTCATTCTTTTTGAATTTTTTTCATTTCCCGAGCCTTCTGTTTCTTTAACAAATCTTTAGCTCGTTGTTTGTGTGTCTCATCTAACTTCATATAATTATCTCCAGTAGTTGTCAAATATTCAGAAAATTCTGATTTGTTGCTTCGATAAATATGCCAATCCTCTTGTTTTGTCATATTTATAGCTCCAATCTTTTAAAAAAATTTTTTTTTATTTTATAAAAATATTATTATTTTACATTTTCCATAATTTCATAAAAATTCTTTTTTGTTTCTTCATTAAAAATCCAACCAATTCTTTTTGCTCCTATTGCATTTGAAAGCTTAATATAAATTTTTTATTTCCAACTATTTTCTTGAGACATACCTCAACCAATTTTCCAAACATTGCAGAAATTGCATTTGGAATATGACAATCAAAATGTAAGGGGGAAAAAGACATTTTATCTACCCAAATACTCTTTAAAATTAAAAATATTTTTAATTTTAAAAATTAATTACTTGTCCATCCCACAAAGAATAATAATTTCCATGAAAGAAAAGCATGCTAACAACTGATGGGCGAGCATCTAAATGGACAGTTACTGCTCCTACTTGGCCAGTTCTTAGTAAATTCGTTAAATTTGACGTTGATTCATCTTGGATATTTTTTATTTTTAGAATTTGATCAAAATATAAAATTAAATATCGTTAAAGCTTTGTGACGATCTTCACGTTCTTACATAACCATTAAAACTTTTAACATCATTTACATGTTTTTACTTAGTTACTTATCTAATTGTAATGGAAAAGGAAGATCAAGCTTGCTTAAATTTAAACGCTCACTGTGCGAGGGTTTAAGACTATTAAGCACTTATACATGGTGAGTAGAGCCCGCCGAGGGGGCGTTCGTTAGTCTCCGATAAATATCAAAACCAACTATCGAAAAAGTATTGTATCGAGCCGGGCTCTAAAGGCAGGAGGGAAAGCTCCTAGTCCTAACTGCAAGGAGGTTGCAGGATCAATGCCTGCTCGGAGTCCTCTCCCTTATTATAAGTTACCTTCTCCGTTCATTTCCTTCCATTGTTTAATAAGATAAATTGCTTCATCTCCACTCAATTTACCAGGCAAATAAATTGTTGATTTCTACAGAAAATAATTTTGAAATTAATTCAAAAAACCCCCCCAACCAAAGTTCCACAAAGTACATTCATTCCATTTTTTAATATTTTCTCTACTTCATTATCATTTAATTGTAATTGCCAAAAAGTTTCTTTTGGCACAATATCCATTCCTGGAAAGAGAAAATATCCAACAGATTTGCTGTTGGCTATAGCTTGAATTTCTTTTATTTCTTCAGTTTTAGCAGACAACTTTAATACATATTTTCATTTATTTAGATATATATTTTTTAGAGTTTCATCGGAAGTTCCGGTTTCTGAAGGTTCCGACGTTTTTTGGTTCTAGTTCCGGTTCCGGAATCCGGAACTCAAATTAGATCTGGTTCAGGTTTCGGTCAAAATTTCGGTTCCGGTGAAACACTAATATTTATAAACTATTATAGTTGTTGGCGATCAAGTTAATAACCGATACCATCCGTTTTTAGTCAATTCAAAATTAAAAAAAAACTTTGTTTTCTGTTTTGGTTTTAGTTCAATATCAGTTTTATTTTGGGGAATTCTTCTAAAAAATCTCTCATTTTAGAAAATTTTCGAGTTTCGGCTTTAAACCCGGTCAACAACAACCCTATTATTATAAACCTTAGCAAGTTCTGCATACAATCTTACTGGAAGTTCTTTATATTTAATTTCACAAATTAAATCACCCAAATAGACAACCTATAAATTAATTTATTAAAAATATTTTTTTATCATTTTAAACCTTCCCTCCATTTAATGAGGAACAAATTGTATATGAAAGATAACCAATTATCTTTTTTTCTTCCTTAATTTCAATAACTAAAGCATGCACAAAACCTTCTTGTAAATCTTTTTCAATTTGCCCAACTTCAATTTCTGGTTTAACATTTTCAGAATTTATTAAAGAAATTGCCAATTGACGCATTTGGGTGGCATCTTTGTTTAATTAAAATTTATTTAATTTAAGAAAACTGTAAGTTCTAGTCGCTCAATTTCCGAAATCTGCAATTTATCTTTTCCCATAAAACAAAGATTATACTTATTGAAACCCCCACTCTATAAAATGTTAATTGGATTAGATGGATTAGAGACCAGTGTAAAAATACTTTCCCCTTTCTTAGGGAAAACTATTTCACCTTCCTATTCTTTAATAGGGAATTAAAATATCTTAAATTAATTATTCCCTCGGAATAATTAACTAGATAAAACAAATTAAATAAATAAACACAAACACAACTAAAATTCTTTATCTTCAAACAAAATAAATATTCACACAGAATATTAAAAAAAATGAATATCTCAAAAGACATTGAAAAGTGAAATTTCTGCCTACTTTTTATAGGCAAAAATTTCTATATAAAAATGATGCAATGTTAAGTACATTGCAAAAAAGTACATAAAAAATTGTCAAAAATGGAAAGTGACTCACTGAGTCACCTCCAAAAATAATAAACAAAATAAAAAATATCAAAAATATTTCAAATCTTTAATTCTTCAATTTCGTCATCGACACTCCCCGCACAGAAATCCTCTCATCTCTCCATATTCTCAGTAGTTGCATTGAAGAAGAGAGTTGCACATTGATGCGACATATTGGCAAGTTCGTGTGATGATAATTGAAGAGCGCTTGAGTTTGTAGAAGAATTTGTTTTTAGCAATGACTTTGGTGAGGTGCTCTTGTCATTGCCTTTAATTGGACAATTATTTGTTGTATGTCCGAATGTGTGATGAGAAGAATACTTTTTCTTTTTGTGTCGCATTGAAGTTTTATTAATTAATTCTTTTACTTGTTGAGTCTTTATTGTTGGAGCAGAAGCAGTAGTTGAAATTAGAGATGAGGGGAAGTCCTGCGAGATAGTCCGAATGACCTGAAATTGCTTGATATGGTTTCTTTTTCTCTTTTCAACGGGAGATCTTTCCTCCTTTTTGCTATTCAGAATTGTCTCTCCTCGAAAACCTGGACAATCTATTTCATTTTCTCTAATTTCTTTTATCTGTACTTTATTCTTTTCAGGTATAGCCACACAGGCTTCTATCATTATATTAACATAATTATAGTTAATTAAATTTCTTTCAGTTTCTAATCTTTCTACACATGAAGAATGTGTACCTCCCGCCAACATTGTAATTATAAGTGCTGACGCGGCGAGTTTGTATCCGCGAAACAATGGATTATATTTAAAAAATAACTTTAACGCAATAGTTATCAATACAGACGATAAAATAATCATAAATATCATTTGTATACTAATCAATTCAAAGAGTATGTTTTTCCAATCAAGAAATTGCAAACTTGCAAATGGATTCGTCAACCAATTGTTTTCACTATTTTCTATGAATATTTTAGATGATCCTTCTTTTACTATAACCTTTGCCTTTTCTGGTAAAATAAATTCTAATTGTCCTTTTAATGTGAAATTTGTAATTCCTCCCGAACAATAGACATTACAAATCTCATTTATCTCCGAATGATCAAACGAAAGTGCAATTTTTTGATCAATCCCTTTTTCATTACATTTCGCTGTAAAGATATTGCCTCCGGGGCATTTTATCTCAGCGTAAGCCGATCCATATTCGGCGGAACAATTAAATTTAAAAACAGCTCCCATACAGCTGTAACATCCTCTTAAATATTCAGGATTTATTTTACAAATTGTAATATCGATATTGCTAGAAATTAGCCAATCTTCAAACCTTATCATTAACATGATTGGTAAATAGTTAGATTCACTAATAATCATGTTTTCCTTTTTTCTTAATCTTATACGATTTATCTCCAATGGTAATGATTTGCGTGGGTCTTTTATTAATTTTTCAATAATAAAGTCCGAACATGCGCATTGTATTTTCTCAATATCTTGTTCTAACCAGCATTCTTTACATGCATTAATTTCTAATTCACATTTTGAAAAATTTCCAGCATTTTCATAGCACTCTAGATAAGAATTACTATTTTCTGAAATTACAATTCCTCCCTCTCCAATGATAAATTCACTGTTTAAAACTGATGCCATTGGAGGTGTAACATCTAATAATGTAAATTTTATATCTTTCCATTTAAAAGTCATTCCTGGATTTAGCGTAAATCTCTTTTTTGTCATATTTCCATTCAAAACAAGTCCTATGTCTACTTCAATACTATAATCCCAAGTAGGACAGGACACAAGTTTGAAAATCTCATCTGACTTTGGGATGGCATATACTCTATAAAAATAGCAGTCTGCTCCAGGCAGTGAACAGCCATATCCCCAAAGTGATTTTCCTTCAATACAAAACGAATTACCAGGATAATCATTCCATTCTGATAATTCTTCAACATAATCTTTAGTTCTAATGTGATTGCATCTTCCAGCTTTACATGTTCCCGCGGCTGGGCATCTTTTGATTGACTGAACTTTTACCTCATATGATCTCAAATATCTAAGTATTTTCTGATTGCATTGGATTTGTAATCCATGCATTGACAATTCTAGCTCTCCCATTATTATTCCTTTATTATTCTTTAACGAGAGCGAATTTATTTGCTCATTTGGCAAAAAAGTCACAGTATTTACGGCGTTCATTTTGCAAGTAGAAATACCTGCTTTTCTTAGACAATCTTCAGATTTAGCTTGAATAACTACAACTTCAACTTCTCCATTAATTAATTGAATAAAATTTAAATAAATAGCCAATAATGCCATTAAACGTAATTTATTCAATCTTCTGTTTCTTTTTAATGTTTTATTATTTTTAACTTTACTTCTATTATTCAATAATAATTTTTTAGTTATATCTTTTTGTCTATTTTTCTTTTGTGCAAAAAATATTTCCATCGGCATTTTAACAATATTCCAAATTATTCTTAATAATTTTCCGAAAATTAACAAGAGTTTACAGGCAAATATTGCTATAGAGAGAATAATAGTCAAAATAAATCCCGTTACAATACCAATCAGTAGTAAGCTTTCTAATGATTCACATTGTGGGTTGACTATTCTTTCACGTAAGCCTGATATTCTTATACATGGATCAACTGCTGGACATGAAATCCAGTCTCTGTACTGTATCTTTTGCCCCAATAAGTGGCTCGGCATTTATAATCCAATGCTGTTTTATCTTTTGGAATTTTAAATGCTAATCTTGACAAACCATTTATTTCTAAAAGGCAGCTTCCTGCACAACACAATTCAATTTTATTTATATAGTCAACTGCGTTAGCTTCAACGCCGAAAGTTCTACATTTCATAAAACATCCTTTACAATTTATATATCTTGGTGGTTCAGCAAATGCAATTGCAACCATATATATTAATTGTACAAATTGTAGGCACAAAGCCACTTTTGATCTTGTAACCATCGGATGCGTATTTTTATTTTTAGTCACCAATTTTTCAGTCTCTTTTTTACTCAAATCTACTTCATTTTCTTTTTCATTCTCATTATTTAAATTTTCTTCTACTATATTCTCATCTTCAATCTCCAAAGGAGAGATTTTATTAATCGGGCGTATAAAAGTTTTATCTCCAATTTTTATCTTTGCGCTTCTAGCTGGAGTTCCATCCAACTCCACTATTTTTCCTAAAGGCCAGACATTGCGAGGTTGTCCTTCTTGATGCATAATAACAACTTCGCCAATTCTTGGATTTCTTTTTAAATCATTTCTTTGATTGTGATGAGTCCACTTCGACTTATCTCTCAACATTATGAGATAATCACGCTTCCAGGTATCCCAAAACCTCTGAAGCGTTTTTAAAGTGGCCATCCATCTTTCTTGAACTTGTTCGGCCGTGCTCATTTTTCCTAGCCGAAAATTATCGTCTTCAATTTCTGGAAATTTTTGAATAATTTCCACTCTTGGTATTATAAAATCAATTGGCCTCAAGCATAATGGGCCGTCTTTTTCTAAAGATATATAAGAAATAGGTCTACAATTTATAGACATTTCTACCTCCTTTATAAATGTTCTTAACTCTTCTATATTTAATATTCGACTTCCCAAAGATCTTTTAAATGAATCTTTAACTAATTTTACTAATCGCTCATAAACGCCACCCTGCCATGGAGACAAAGCAGGTATGAATTTCCATTCAATCTCTTTTTCTAATAAAAAATTATTAAATAACTTTTCATCATTATTTGCTTTTTCTTTCTTCCATTTACCTTCAATATTGGCATTTATTACTTTTGCAACCGTTATAAACTGATTGCCATTGTCCGAAATTATTTTCAATGGTGCGCCTCTTTGCGCTACAAATCTTCTTAAAATATCCAAGAATGAAAATGCAGATAGATCTGTAATTATGTCTAAATGGATTCCTCTTGTTGATAAACATGTAAAGAGCGCAATCCAAAACCTGACTTTTCCTCCTTCTATTTTGCACATAGAAGGTCCGAGATAATCCACTCCAACAAATTCAAATGGACGTGATTGTCTTACTCTTTCTTTAGGCAATATAGGCATATCCGGCAGTGCAAATTTAGGCGAACTAATTCTTTGGCACTTTTTGCACTCTTTTATAACAATTTTAGTTATGCGCCTTGCACATGGCGTCCAAAATTTCATTAAAAAGTTTGCAACTGTTGAGTCAACTCCCGAGTGACTCAATTCTTCATGCATTTTTCTCAATAAAAGTTTTATAGCAAAACATCCCTTAGGTAATAAAATCGGATGTTTAAAATAATCTTCTGCTTCACAATTAATTATTCTTGTTTTTAATCTTATTAATCCATTCTCATCAATTATTGTCTGTAAATTATCGTTCTTTTCGTTTTTGTAAGAACTTTGTGCAATTTTTAAAACAAAAATTTCAACTTTTTTGAAATTATTTGCCGACATACGATTTTTCAAATTTATTTCACTAAGAAATTTTTCTTTTACAATTTTTCTGCTCTTTTCTATCCAAATCCGAGCAGCTATTGTTACAAACATTAAACATTTAATTAATTTATTCCATGAGTTCCAATTATTAAAATTTATTAAATTATCTTCTTCATCTATCTTTTTATTTAAACAACTTAATATTAATTCCTGATTATCTTCTTCGCAAGTATCTTCTTTTTCAATTTCAAAATTCAATTCATTTGGCCAATTATTTTCAGGCCTTTTTAACCAATCAGGACCTTCCCACCAAATATGGCATTTTTCTAATTCAGATGCCATTATACCGCGAGTGGCTATATCTGCTGGATTATCAATCGTATTAACATATCCAAATTTAATTCCATTATTTTTTCTTATTTCATTTATTCTATTTTCTATAAATTTTTCATTTTTGCCTCCTGCCTTTATCCAGCTTAATACCGGCTTTGAATCACACCATAAAAATTTATCTTTAATTTCAACTCCGATTTGTTTCTCTACAAATTCTAAAGCTCTTTTAGCAATAACCACGCCTAAAAGTTCCATGCGTGGTATTGTTACTTCTGATTTTCTAGGTTTCAAACGATTTCGTGCATATAATATCTGTGTATGAATTTTTCCTTCAAATTCCGATTTTATGTATATGCAAGCAGCATAAGCACATTTAGATGCATCAGAAAATGCATGCAATTGTTTTACACTTTTAATATCAGTCACTCTTCTATTAATCTCGATGGGATCTAGTGTCCATGACCTAGTGATTTCTATCCATTTCATTGCATTTTCCTTACTAATTTTATCATCCCACTTATTCTCTTTAGTCCATAATGACTGAAAGAATAATTTTGCAGATAAAAGACTAGGTGAAGCAAGTCCTAATGGATCAAACATGCTTGCTAATTCACGAAGAACTATTCTTCTAGTCACGCTTTCAGCCGAATTCACTATTGGAAATACAATATTTATCTTATCTGAAGATATTTCCCATGGTATTCCCAAAATTTTAGGCTTATTCTTCTCCAGCCTATCTTCGAGTGGGAAACTTTCATTAAGCTCCACATTATTACTGATGAATTCTCTTAAATTCATTTGAGCATCTCTAAATATCTCTTTTAATCTTTTATAAGCGAGCCAAGCTTCATTGGCCGATTCTACTCCAATAAATATATTATCCACATAGGAATTTTCTTTAGCAATCTTTGCAACAGGGTCATCACACTTCTCTAAATGATGTCTGACAGTCGCTGATAACAAAAATGGACTCGAGATTACCCCAAAGGGAACTTTTGCAAATCTTAGATATTGAATATTCTGGGTTGATATGGGTTTCTTCGTATCTTTTACCCATATAAACTTAGTCACTTCTCTATCTTCTTCTTCCAATTCTAATGTATGGAATGCCTTTTCAATATCAGCCCACATGGCAATTTTTGGCACTCTAAATCGAATTAATAATCCTGCTAAATCCGGCATAATTATTGGCCCTCGATATAAACATTCATTTAAGCTTTTTCCTTCTCGCATTCTTGCGGAAGCATCATAAACTATGCGCACCTTTTTTGTATTAATAACAGGGTGGTGGGGCAGAAAATGTTCTATTTCCCCTTTCTTCTTTTCAGCCTTTTCAATCACACCTCTTTTCAAATCATTATTAATTATTTCCTCGTATTTATCTAATAAATCTGGATTTTTCTTTAATTTATCCATGAGATTTAGAAATCTTTTATATGCCAATGAAAAATTAGATGGCAAATTGTCTTTCTCAATTTTCCATGGCCATTTTACTATATAACTTCCATTTTCATTTCTTTTAATCGTACTATTAAATAAATCTAAAGCAACTTTATCATCTTTACACACAGGATCATCTTTGACTCCTATTGTCTCTAATGACCAATAATTGTTAAGTTCCTCATTTTCCAAAGTGTTAGAACTTAATATAGTACACAAATTTTCCTTTTTATTTAATCTTTTAAATTTTTCACCGCTAATTTCGCCACAAATTATTGGCCCTACAGTCGTTTCAACTTTAAATAGATAGTCCGATAATGGTTCTATTCTTTTAAAGAACCTCCAGAAATGCTTCATACCTATAAGCATATCAGGGACTATATTTGCGCAAGCAATCTCATTTGTTCTTAAGTCTGCGCATCTAAATCTTGGCATCAAATTCTTATTAATACTATAAACTATTATTTCTTCAAAATTTCCATTATCAAGAAGAACCTTTAAAGAATAACACGAAGTTTTTAGCTTTATTGGCTCTTTTCTGAAAAATGGGACAACTCCTAATTCTGTTCTTTTTAATTTTTTCAATTTTAATTTTTCAACAAGTTCATTACATAAGAAATTAACTGTTGCTCCTGAATCAAAGAAGCATTTTGCATTTATTTTATTATTTCTCTCTTTTAACATTAAATCTGCTTTCATCAAAACAATATTATCTTCGCCGTTATCATCAATATTAAGCATATTTTCACTTATTTGATTAACGCTTTCATTTTCCTTAATCTGTCCTTTCTTTTCTTTTTCAACTTCTTTAGGACAGATTATTTTATTGTGGTCTCCTTTACATATACCACAACTATATTTCACATTACAATCTATTTTGGCATGGCCTTTCCTTAAACAAATCAAACATCTATTTTGTTCAGACAGAATGCTCATTCTCTGTCCAATAAATCTGACTTGCTTACAATTTCCAGCTAAGTGTGGACCATTGCAAAACAAACATGAAATTTCTCTTTTTTGGTTCTTTGGCGCTGTAAATACACGCGCAGGTTCCGGTTTTCTCTGATTATTTGTGTTTCCATTAAATCTCCTTTGATTAAGATTCGGCACATTTTGCCAACTATTTTTATATGCCAATGACCTCGTGCATCTTTGTGCCTCTTCTCTTAAGGCCACAATTTCTGCAAGTCCTTCTCTTAATCTTCCTACACTCCAATTTACTTTCTCCAATTTTTCCATTTTTAATAATTCTAGAACAATACTTCTTGGCAATTTATTCTTAATTGCCATCATAACTATAGATTCATCTTCTAATTGCCCCATAGCAGTCAATGATCTACAAATTCGTTCAACCTCCTCGAGATATGAACGTAAAGACCATATTGATTCGTTAGCCACTGGCAAGCTAATTAGTTCGGCATGCAGTGTATCTCTAATTGCCTTTTCATTTCCGAATTGTCTTATAAGAGCATCTTTCAAAGGCGCATAATGTTCTGATATTGGCCTATAACCCAAAATTGCCCTTTTTGCCTTACCTCTAAGACATTGTATCAAATAGTGGGCCTTTAGCCCGTTATCAATATTCAAACAATCCACCGTTCTCTCAAAAGCCTGCCAAAATTCAGGCCAACGTAGAGTATCTCCATAAAATTCTGGCAGTCTAGTCCGCGGAAGATGAGGTGGAAGCACCTGCTCACTTCTAACTGGGACTTGCTCTACATTTATATTTCTGCGGACTTCATTTGTCCGATTTAAGCCAACTCCTATTTCCTCTGAGATCTCTGACTGCGTACTACGAGCATCAGAACCTTCAGCAAGAACAATTTCTATGTCATCGATAGCCTCTCTTCCTGAGTCTATCCATTCTAAAAAATGCCGTTCCTCTATGGCATATCTAGCAAAAACACCTTCTTCGGCAACTCTTTCATTTGCCGGTAAATCTTTAATATATTTTTCCCATTTTTCAACTTTTTCTTCCACGAAATTAATTGCCCTACGGATTTTAACTGCCATTCTTTGGAGTAACTCTACTCCTTCTTCAGTGCGTTCAGTGGCATCTATGATAGGTCTTACCTCTTCAAGGTATTTTTTCAATCGTACTATGGATGGCGCAATAGTACTTCTAATCGTTCCTGACATCTTTTAATTTATTTTATTCCAATATTTCCCAATTAATCTCTTTTTTAAATCCTTTTTTACCGAGCTTTCCAAATCTCAGCTCTTCCAATAATATTTTTTTACTGAGCCTTTCCTTTTCACGGCTCTTCCAATAAATCAATTGAGCCTATAGCTCTTCAATTTATTCTTCTAACTTTTTCTTTAATAACCCGCCGTTGGGTCGTGGCACCAAATGTAAAAATACTTTCCCCTTTCTTAGGGAAAACTATTTCACCTTCCTATTCTTTAATAGGGAATTAAAATATCTTAAATTAATTATTCCCTCGGAATAATTAACTAGATAAAACAAATTAAATAAATAAACACAAACACAACTAAAATTCTTTATCTTCAAACAAAATAAATATTCACACAGAATATTAAAAAAAATGAATATCTCAAAAGACATTGAAAAGTGAAATTTCTGCCTACTTTTTATAGGCAAAAATTTCTATATAAAAATGATGCAATGTTAAGTACATTGCAAAAAAGTACATAAAAAATTGTCAAAAATGGAAAGTGACTCACTGAGTCACCTCCAAAAATAATAAACAAAATAAAAAATATCAAAAATATTTCAAATCTTTAATTCTTCAATTTCGTCATCGACAACCAGATGGATTAGACTTAAAAAATGAAGTTGAATAAAAAATTCATTTTAGAATTAAAGAGTTTATCACTTTGTCATGTATAATTAAATATTTTAAAAAATTATTATAAAAATCCAAGCAAGAGTTTGGTACTTCTAGTAGAATTCTTGATAATATTTGCTACTTATTTCTCTATCATACATATAAACCTTATTTAATCTCATTATAATCTCATTATCACCCTGTATTAATGAGTAAAAATACCTTCCGGAACAGCATGTCTAATGATCATTTCTGCGTTTGCATGATCAAAAGTCTTCAACGGTTCTTTGCTTAACTCAAAAGCCTTTAATCGGTTCGGTTCTAACAAAAGGCGACGCGATGCTATCGGCAACGTTTCGGCGCCATTAAGTAGACGAATATCTTTTTCTTGATTGGCAACAACTTCTTTATTTTTTTCTTCTCCAATCGTTTCCCCTAAATTCGATACAAGAGCATTCTTATGCTTCATTGCAAATTTAGGATTATCAAACGAATGTTTTGATTGAGCAGCCGGAAAAGATTTCCCTGAATTAAGCGCTTGAACGTGGAGATTCGTTGGCGGTTTTTTCAGAGGCATATTATTATGCATCGGTGGCACAAAGGCTGAAGAGAACGCGGAAATCGGGGCAGTTGCACCTCCACCTCCATTTACTCCCCACACTTTTGCCATCATCATAAACATTAATCGAGTAAAGTTGCGTTGAGTAAATATCATTTTTGGGGGCTTTTTTAGTTGTTTGGATTTTGAATTTATTTTTGATTTTTTCCTCAATTAATTCCGTGTTTAAATAAAAAATATTTTGGGGGGAATGCTTGCACTTTGAATATTTCTAAATTTTATAGAGGAAGTCTGGTGATTGCCCTTTAATTTTAATAGACATTTGAAAATAACCTAGCATTTCCTTTAAGTTTTCAACGAATTAATTAATTAAAGTGCATTTACAAGACTTTTAAAATAATTTTCATTTCACGTGTATTTACAATTATTATTTCATCATATTATGAAATTAATTTACATAAAATCGGAAGTTTATTACTTAAAAGAGATAAACCGATAATTGACCTTTATTTAAACATCTCTATGTAGACTTTTAATTTTTTAAATTTTCTACATAAAAAATATTTTCTATTTTTGTGCTTGGGCGATTTTTTTCAGAGGTAGATTATTCACACGGGCTGAATCAAACAGATTTAGGACTTATAAACCCTGTGTCCGAGAAGTTTGTTTTTGAAGTGGTTCTGCCCGGAGAGCTTGTGAAGAACATTTAGTGATGTTAAGAGCGTTGCTAGAATATTGTAAACTCCATTAAACCAAACTTATCTCTTTGCTATAAATTAACTATAAATTTAATATAAAATATACATATTAAAATATACACTAATTGTAAATCCCAAAATTCGAAGTCAATATTTTGAGTAAAAACGATAATTTAGTCTTTAAAATTGAAATTTAAGAGCACTTCTAAAAGATTTGACGGACTTTTAAATTATGAATATTATATATCCTAGTTCTTTAAACAAGAACTAGTCGACGTTGGGCCCCAAGAGTGGCAACCCACTCTTGGGGCGCGCCGAACCACCAATTAAATAGAAAGCTTTCTTTTTAAGGGTTTACTCAACAAATTTATTAAAATAAAAGGGAGGGAGAACCGGCCAACTTTTGGGTCGGTGAAATCTGAGATTGAATAAACTTATTTGGTCGGTTCTCGCTCGCCTTTTATGGGGCATTAAAATGGGCGTAAATAATTATTCTTAATTATGACAATGAAATTTTTGAAAATTGATATCCGCATAAAAATAATAAATTATGGATCGAGCAAAAAACTCTGAATACCTCTGAAATAAAAGCGTTTTAATCAGAGTTGGGGCCTGCTAATAATCAAAACTATTACCGAAAATATTTTTATTCCGAATTTATTGTTTATAATTTATTTTTTAATGATGATCTATTTTTAAAATTTTTTTCTTTTCATCTTTAATCATCAACCAAGTTCATAAAAAAATTATGCTGTGGTGGATATGGTCCTGGAAGGGCATAATCTAAAGCCAGCATAATAAAAATAAGATAAATAATAGCCCAAATAATTATTGTAGAAATATTATTCATTTTTCAAGAGGAGGTATTCTTTATCTAAATTTAAAATGAAAATTAAATAATTTATGTAGATTATACATATATTTTTAATTCATATATTTTTATCTATGCTGTGCCTTTGATAGTGATATTATCAAATGAAAGCGTTTTACTCAGAGTTGGGGCCTGCTATTATAATAAATTAATTTTAATTGTTGGGGGGGAGGGGGGTAAAAAGGCGGGGGTTAGGATAAAAGAGAAAGCATTAGTTGATACCCCAGTAGCTCAGCGGTAGAGCTCCTGTTGTGGTGAGCGAATCCTGCCCGATGGCTAAACTTTTGCTAAACTATTTCTACAGGAGAAACTAAGTTTGTAGGGTATCCCTGAATTAAATAAAATAAAAATTTGGATTTTTAATATTTAAGGCAAATAATACGCATAATAATACATCAAATCTTTATTTATATTACTATTTTAACAATATTCTCGAAAACAACCTTTGTGCTTACAATCCACGTTTCGTAAAAATACTTTTTATTATTTAATCCATTTTATTAATAAATTTTTTATGAATTTTGGAAAAAATAAACAAATATAAATTTAAAATATTACACATTATATGTACTTTTTTTATTTGATAAATTGTTAGATTATTTAACCAATTAATTTATCTTCTCAAATTAAAAAACCCCTATGAAGATTTATTGAAATAGAGAATCATTATTCCTCTGCAATTCTCGAATTCATTCTGTATTGGTGGTTTAAACTAGGGTTTAACACATATTTTCGGGTTCATTTTCAGATATAAAACCGATTTTTCTAGTTAATTAACCAGAGCTTTAAAGTGGAGCTGGAAGCGCTGATAACCTTAAACGGTGGAGTACTAGCTAATTATCAGTTTCTAGTAATTGAAATAATAATTATTTATCGAATTATAAAATAATATTTTCCAAAAATTCATTACAAGATGTTCAAAAAAATTAAAAACATAAAAATTATTAAAAAAAAATTTTTTTAGCATTATTTGTTTGTTTATTTACCTTGTTTAATTTTTATTTTGATAATAAAAATCTTAGCTTAAAATTTATTTACCTACTTTGTTAAGTTTTTCAAAGTGTATTTTTATAATAATGCTTAAAAATATTTTGAACATACATATTGTTAAATGTTAAAAAAACATAACATTAACATTAAATATTCTTAGAAATATTTTTTGAAATATTTCTCGAAAATATCTAATATGCAGTGATGTCAAAGTTCCAGTTCCAGTTCCGGAACTAATTAGTTCTAGTTCCAGTTCCGGAACTAGAACTACGGAACTAACGATTATCTGGAACTAGTTTGGAACTAGAACTACGGAACTAGTAAATGTCTGGAACTAGCTTGGAACTGGAACTACGGAACTAGTAAATGTCTGGAACTAGCTTTGGAACTAGTTCTGGAACTAGTTCTTGGGGGTATATTTTTGGCAAAATTTCCTCGAAAATTACCTGCAGCGCGCTGAGTATGGAAGAAATCTGGCCACTTGAGCTCAAAAATTCTAAAAATTTTCGCCTGCGGCGCTAAAAAAGGAAGAAATCTGGTGAATTGGCCTTCCAAAATTCTCAAAATTTTCGCCTGCGGCGCTAAAAAAGGAAGAAATCTGGTGACTTGGACTTCAAAAATTCTTCAAATTTTCGCCTGCGGCGCCAAAAAAAGAAGAAATATGGTGGCTTGGTCTTCGCAAATTCACAAATTTTTCGCCTGCGGCGCTGAAAATGGAAGACTTCCGGCTTCTTGGCCTTCCGAAATTCTCAAAATTTTTGTCTGCGGCGCAGAAAATTGAAGAAATTTGGCTTCTGGTCTTCAAAAATTCTTCAAATTTTTGCCTGCGTCGCTGAAAATGGAATAATTATGGGGAGATCTAAAGATTTTGAGAGATACCTCCAAACCCTACGTAATCCCACGATAGCATTATCTTTTTACATATTTCCTAATCTCGGTATCTTACCAGACTGCATGGTCCACATCATGGATAAGGAGGATAATAAGAGGGAACAGAGATTTGGGTGGATAAGGAGGGATTTGAAAAAAGATAAAGAGTGATATCAAGGCTCAAGAGTTGTAAGTTGTATGTATATCAGGTTACTTTTTTTAACTTTTTGCAGTTACTTTCTTGTCACCCTGTATACTACAGCCATATTTTCATATTCAAAAAAAATTTAAAAATTTGGAACTAGAACTAGCTTGGAACTAGTTCCAGAACTGGAACTGGAACTAGGGAATTTCAAAAATGGAGTTCCGGAACTGGAACTGGAACTACGAAAATTAAAAACCTGGTTCCGGAACTGGAACTGGAACTACAAAAATTAAAAACCTAGTTCTGGAACTGGAACTAGTTCCAGAGAAATTTTGGAACTTTGACATCACTGCTAATATGTATGTTAATTAATGGCATATAGAAGAGACAAAATTGGATAAAAATACTTATATTTTCATTTTCAGTTCCAAAAAAGGACTTCACAGAGGACCAAGGCTAAATATGCCCCCATAAGAATCGAAAGAAATGGAAAATTTAGGCTTAGTGTCTTTCTAAAATCTAAGATTTTTGTACGCGGCTCTGAAGATACTCGGAAATTTGGGCTCTGAAAAATTGGGCTCTAAACGAAGAGAACGATAAATTTTCTCTAACATTTTAGGCGCGTGGATTTAGGGCGTCGGAGTGAATTTTTTGATTTGGCAATGGTAAACGTGACCAACCGCTTTATTTTATTAAAAAATTAAAACTAAAGTTTGATCTATCTCAAAAAACAATAAAAACCAAAAGAAATACCTTCATTCCTCTGGGCCCGTAGAATAAATTAGGGTAAGGGTTATTTAACCCCTACCCGAGGGTCAAACAACTCGCAACCCGCAGCATAAATTTATAATCTGAGTTCAGGGTTAAACAACCCGGTAGTTTAACCCAAAACCCCGAGTAGCTTTTCACATTGGTAGAATAAATTATTTACTCGGGTCAAATAACCCTCAGCTAAGGGTAAAATTGCTACACCGGTCGGGGGCAGTGTAACAGGGTTAAACGCGTCTCGATTGCTTTTTTTCCAAAATATATTAAGTTTTTAAAATTTTGAAAGAAAATTTTATATTCAAAAAATGAAAACCACTTTTACTCGGAACTCAGGGTTATTTAACCCAGGGTTATTTTACTCGGTTATTTAACCGGTTATGTTACCCCGAATTTATTCTACGGGCCCTGAGGGCCGACTTTCTAATTTTCTAGACACAATGCTAATCAATCCCTAATTTTTAAAATTTTGGAGTGAAAAATAGTATTGAATTAGGAGAAAAATATAAGTGCATTTATGCTACGTTAAAATAAGAATTTTGGGCGCCTTTGAAGCTTATACAAAAAATTTTTTAAATAAACATAAATATAAATAAATGTACATAAATCTACGATAAATCAAATTTTGTATGTCGGAAATTCGGCATAATTAAAGTGAAAAGAATTTTAGGCGTGTGTTTAAAAATAAATAAAATTTAAATTGAAAAACAATTTTTATTTTATAAAAAAAGGGCAAAAAAATCGTATAGAAAAGAATGAAAAGCAGCCCTAAGAATGCAAAAATCGTAAAAGATCTGGTAAAATTTAGAATAAAATT